AATCCCACATCTAGTATAAATCTCTCTCTCTCCCTGGTTCCAGAAAGAGCTGGTCTAAAAGTCTATCTTGAAAGCATTCTGTGAACTCCTTATCCTAGCTATTGCCAATTTGAATTTTTTGGTTTATCTGTCAATTTAAAATCACATTATTGTTTTCTATTTCCAAGTACCCATACTTATATACTTTGTCTGACATTATGATTATTTTTGGGGACATGTAGATCTTGCCCCTTTGTCTCTTTCTTCTACAATTCTTTATCTCCAACAGACCTTCGAGTGCAGGTTGATAGTTTCTTGAAGGTGGAGTCGCAGGTGGATAGGATAGTGAAGAAAGCATTTGGTATGCTTGCCTTTATTGGTCAATGCATTGAGTGTAGGAATTGGGAGGTCATATTGTGATTGTTAAGAACATTAGTTAGGCCACTATTGGAATACTGTGTGCAATTCTGGTTTCCCCATAATAGGAAGGATGTTGTGAAACTTGAGCGGGTTCAGAAAAGATTTACAAGGATGTTACCAAGGTTGGAGGGCTTGAGCTATAGGGAGAGGCTGAATAGGCTGGGGCTATTTTCCCTGGAGCATCAGAGGCTGAGGGGTAACCTTATAGAAGTTTATAAAATCATGAGGGGCATGAATAGGGTAAATAGACAAGGTCTTTTTCCCCAGGGTGGGGGAGTTCAAAACTAGAGGGCATTGTTTTAAGATGAGAGCGGCAAGATTACGCAATATTACTTGGTCCTGTTTCATGTCTCTGTGTCTTCTGCTGAAACCTGCACCTTTACTTTGATTTCACATTCAACTGTTTCAGTACTCTTCTGGCCAACCTTCTATCTTGTGTTCTCACTCAACTTCTAATCCTGAACTCTGCTGCCTATATTTTATCTTGTATCCGCTTCCATTCACCTATCACTGTCCTTTGAGATCTGCGTTTTCTCCCAATCTGTCAACATCTTTCATTTAAAAATTGACCTTTTTGTTTAAATCCTTTTGTATTCTCTTTTGCTGGCTTTTCTTATCTTTATGTGCACCTTGTTATCTTGCAAGTTTGGTTTGCTTTCTTGTGCTTGATTAGTTTCAGTGGTTACAGAGGAAGAGTTTCATCTTGTAAGTATTATTTTGTGTTTAATTAGCCACCTCAAGATGTTTAATTTTGGAAGAGTTCATAATGCAAGATACTTCTGATGTGGCAAGCGGAGCATTTTAAGTGAACAATATTGTCTTTTTCTAACTATACTGTTTTCAAGCTTTTATGGTTAATTTTTTTTAATAAACAGATTGCACTTATAATAACTACATTGCACCAATTAATCTATTCACAGGAAGATACCACTTAGGAACAGGATTAGGGCATTCAGTAGGATACGGCTGATCTGATTGTAACCTCCAGTCCATATTCTCGCCTCCCTGATAACTTTTCAACCCCTTAGCAAGAATCTGTTTACCTCTGCCTTAAAAATATTAAAGTACTCTGTTTCCACCACCTTTTTGCAGAAAGAGATTTTCCAGAGCCTCATGACTCAGAGAAAAAATGTATTGCCTAATCTCTGTTTTTAAATGGGTAACTCTAATCCTTAAACAGCGATGTCAAATTTTAGATTCTCTCAACAGAAAACATTCTCTCCATATCTACCTTGTTAAGACCCTTCAGGATTTTGTTTCCATCATTAAAGTTGCCTCTTATTCTTCTAAACTCCAACAATACAAGCTAGCTTGTTTAAACTTTCATCTTAAAATGATCTATCCATTCCACGTTTTAGTCTAGTAAAACTCTGCCTCCAATGCACTTACGTCCTTACTTAGATACAGTGACCAGTACTCCTTGCACAATTCTTCCAATGCGGTCAGTCTAGTGCCTTGTGTAACTGAAACATGATATATCTACTTGGTATTCAATTCAGCTTACATTAAATGATAACATTCTATGAACTTTCCTAATTACTAGCTAGATCTGCATGCTAGCCACACGTGATTTATCCATGAGGAAGAGGTTGGTTAGCTCCACTGGTAAATTTCAGAAATTTTGATTATAACTTAAAACAAAAAATATATACCAATTGATTTGGACACACATTTGATCCATCAACAAAATCTTTACAGCAGCACTTAATACTGTGTATGAATAAAGTGATATAAACAAGTAAAGCGATAGCTAATCTGAAAGCTAATTCTTAATTTTGAGTTTTCGGGAGTTTTCTTGAGTTTAAAGGACTTTTTTTTTGTTGTTAGGCTGAATAACGTTGGTTAGGGTATGCAGTGAGCTCCTCCAGTGAATTATTTGATGGGATCTTCTATGTCTAACTGGGACCAGGATTTACCATCTCATGTGGCAGATGGCAGCACTCCCTCAGTGTTATTTCTTAAGTGTCAATTAAAATGTTTTGACTGAGACTTGTAACCTTCTAATTCCATGACAGCTGATATTATTGGGTGAAAGCCGATGTCTCGAAAGGTGATTTTATATCACGGCTGCTATAATCCTGTTCAGGAATGAAATGGCTGATTGAATCTCCATCTTTAGTCTCTGGCATTGTATGTTAGTGCTCCAGTGCTCAGTTCCACCCACAAACTACCTTGAGTTCTTAAGTCAACGGTGGGTTAATGGTTTAAAACTAAAACAAGAAGTTAGAATAAATTAGCTTTGCTGAAATCGAGCTACAGTGAAACATTGCTTGAAGGTTACTGCACAGATCAAACTATTTTTAGTTAGCAAGATTCAGAATTTATAAGTCCTTAACACAATAAAGCTTGGGTATTAGTAAAGCTTAAACACAAATAGCAAATATAACCCCTCTATTCAAAATGAGAGGCAGAAAACTGGAAATGGTGGGCCAGTTAGCTTGATGTCTGTTGTGGATATTATGATAGAATTGCCAAAGAAATTATATCTAGGCATCTAGAAAACATCCAAGGTAATCGGGAAGAATCAGCATGGTTTCAAAAAAGGGAAGTAAGTTTTTAAGCAATTTATTAGAGTTCTTTTTGAAGGAGTAACATGCGCTGCGGAAAGAAAGGGGAGCCAACACATATAGTATACTTGGATTTCTAGAAGGCAAGTGATAGGGTGCTATCTGAGGTTATAGTGGAAAATATAAGCTTACAATGTAGTGATATATTGACATGAATAGAAGGTTGGCTAGCAAGAAAAGGAGAGTACAGGGTGCATAAATGTATCTTTGTCTGACTGGGAGGATGTGATGAGTGGAGACCCACAGAGATCTGTAATGGGGCTTCAGTCTTATATTTTACATAGTGACTGAGATGTGGGGAGCGAAAACGTGGCAGCTAAATTTGTAGGTCGTAGCAAGATAGATAGGAAAGTGTGATTGAAGAAGACATAAAAAGGTTGAATGAGCAGGCAAAAATTTGGCACGAGGAGTATAATGTGGAAAAATGTGAAATCTTTTGGCAGTAGATTTAAATAGCAGAGCGTTATATAGATAGAGAATGACTGACTGCAGAATTCCAAGATGCAGAGGGAAGTAGGTGTTATGGTGCATGAGTCACAAAGTTATCACGTATGTACAACTTATTGAAGGAAGGCTGTACATGCATTCAAAGTGGTTCAGATGGGGTTTTCTAGATTGACAACTGGAAGGGGTGGAATGTCTTCTGCGAATAGGATGGATAAACTGGGTTTGTGTTAACTGGGATTTAGAGTGATGGCTGACATGATTCTGAACGGTCTTGACAAGATGGACATGGAAAAGATGTTCCCTCTTGTGGGTGAATTCAGAACTAAAATTAATTGTTGTCATTTCAGGTCAGAGATGAGAATTGTTTTTCTTTGATGTTTAGTGCAATTTTGGAAATCTCTGCCTCAGTGTAAATGTGAGGTCAATGAATATTTTTAAGATAGAGGAAGATAGATTGTTGTTAGACAGAGGAATCAAAGATTATTTGGACTAGATGACAATGTGGAATTTGAAATAAACCGATCAAGCATGATTTCATAGGGTCTGTTTCCGTGTTGTATGACTCTTCGGTCCAACACGTCCATGCAGACCAGACATCCCAATCTGACCTAGTCCCGTTTGCCAACATTTGGCCCATCTCCTGCTAAACCCTTCCTATTCATATACTTGCCTTTTAAGTGTTGCAATTGTACCATCTCCACCACTTCCTCTGGCAGCTTGTTCCATACATGCATTACTGTCTGCATGAGAAAATGACCCCTCGAGTCCTTTTATAATCTTTCCCCTCACCCTCAGAAAAAGATTTTGGCTATTCAACCTATCTGTGTCCCTTGTTTTATAAATCTCTCTAAGGTCATCTCTCAGCTTCCGAAGCTTCAGGTGGGGAAAAAAAACCCTAGACTATTCAACCTCCCCCTATAACTCAAACTCTCCAGTCCTGGCAACATCCTGGTAAATCTGTTCTGCAACCTCAAATTTAACAACATCTTTCCTATAGAAGGGCGACCGGAATTCTTTGAATGCTGTATCAGGCTTTAAGGGAAAAATGCTTTTTTTGTATGTTCATATGTAGTTACAGATTCGGTCTGCAAACATTTTGGGGAGTGTGACAATGGAAAGCTTGTTATTATAAAGACAATGTTGTCGAGGAGAATACTGAGATACAGTCTATTAGACTAGACGGGATTGAGGTTCATAAAGAGGAGGTGTTTGCAATTCTGGAAGGTGTGAAAATAGATAAGTCCCCTGGGCCGGATGGGATTTATCCTAGGATTCTCTGGGAAGCTGGAGAGGAGATTGCGGAGCCTTTGGCTTTGATCTTTATGTCGTCATTGTCTACAGGAATAGTGCCAGAAGACTGGAGACTAGCCAATGTTGTCCCCTTGTTCAAGAAGGGGAGTAGAGACAACCCTGGTAATTATAGACCAGTGAGCCTTACTTCAGTTGTGGGTAAAGTGTTGGAAAGGATTATGAGAGATAGGATTTATAATCATCTAGAAAGGAATAATTTGATTAGGGATAGTCAACACGGTTTTGTGAAGGGTAGGTCGTGCCTCACAAACCTTATTGAGTTCTTTGAGAAGGTGACCAAACAGGTGGATGAGGGTAAAGCGGTTGATTTGGTGTATATGGATTTCAGTAAAGCATTTGATAAGGTTCCCCCTGGTAGGCTATTGCAGAAAATACGGAGGCATGGGATTGAGGGTGATTTAGCGGTTTGGATCAGAAATTGGCTAGCTGTAAGAAGACAGAGGGTGGTGATTGATGGGAAATGTTCATCCTGGAGTTCAGTTACTAGTGGTGTACCTGAAGGATCTGTTTTGGAGCCGCTGCTGTTTGTCATTTTTATAAATGACCTGGATGAGGGCGTAGAAGGATGGGTTAGTAAATTTGCGGATGACACCAAAGTCGTCAGAGTTGTGGATAGTGCGGAAGGATGTTGTAGGTTACAGAGGGACATAGATAAGCTGCAGAGCTGGGCTGAGAGGTGGCAAATGGAGTTTAATGCGGAAGAGTGTGAGATGATTCACTTTGGAAGGAGTAACAGGAATACAGAGTACTGGGCTAATGGTAAGATTCTTGGTAGTGTGGATGAGCAGAGAGATCTCGGTGTCCATGTGCATAGATCACTGAAAGTTGCCACCCAGGTTGATAGCGTTGTTAAGAAGGCGTACGGTGTATTAGGTTTTATTGGTAGAGGGATTGAGTTTCGGAGCCATGAGGTCATGTTGCAGCTGTACAAAACTCTGGTGCGGCCACACTTGGAGTATTGCGTACAGTTCTGGTCACCGCATTATAGGAAGGATGTGGAAGCATTGGAATGGGTGCAGAGGAGATTTACCAGGATGTTGCCTGGTATGGAGGGAAAGTCTTATGAGGAAAGGCTGAGGGACTTGAGGCTGTTTTCATTAGAGAGAAGAAGGTTAAGAGGTGACTTAATAGAGACATACAAGATGATCAGAGGATTAGATAGGGTGGACTGTGGGAGCCTTTTTCCTCGGATGGTGATGGCTAGCATGAGGGGACGTAGCTTTAAATTGAGGGGTGATAGATATAGGACAGATGTCAGGGGTAGCTTCTTTACTCAGAGACTAGTAAGGGCGTGGAATGCCCTGCCTGCAAATGTAGTAGACTCGCCAACTTTAAGGGCATTTAAATGGTCATTGGATAAACATATGGATGATAATGGAATAGTTTAGGTTAGATGGGCTTCAGATTGGTTTCACAGGTCGGCGCAACATCATCGAGGGCCAAAGGGCCTGTACTGCGCTGTAATGTTCTATGTTCTATGTTCTACGTTCTATTATAGATATTTCAAAGCTCAAGATTTTAACTTGTTTATGGTTTGTTCATCTGTGAACTACTGTGTAGATTCTGTTTAATAAAACTCTACACTGCCCCTGGGATTTCCTGTCCTTCCTGTGACCACAATCATGTGGAATCCATTACTATGGATCTTTTCGTTGTCCTCACCTGTTGTGATCTCCTGCTGAAACCATTGTAGAGATGCTGATCTGTCAGGATGGGATTCAATACTGGGATAGCATAATTAGGTCTGTAGATTATAATGACCTGGGATTCATTCCAGTGAATTGATGTGAGCTTATTCATTGCCCCAGTGAGTCACTAATGATTTTCTATTTTAAAATTATGGTTCTATTTAACTAATGTGTATCGTGAATTGGTATGAGGGAAGCTTTGACTTTCACTGACCCCACAGCACACATTCCTAAGACTGCGTGCAACTAGTAGGATTGATTTTTATGGTGAGTGATCCATTTGGTGATGTTGTTGACTCCAGCTGCTCCTCGTTATGCCATGTTGAAAAGTTACAACTTGAAGGCATCAAATTCCAAATCATTTAAAATGAATCTGTTTGCTTACATTATCAACAGACAGCTGTGCAAAGGATGGGGATGTTTAAATGAACTAATACTTGTACAGAAAATTTCCACATTGCAAATTTAACTTTTCACATGAAAACAAATCTCAGCAGTTCCCCTCGCTTATCTTGATATATTTATCTTATTATTGTTTTGTGGATTCTTTTACTTCCCTTCAGCTCTCATGGTTACACATTCCTCTCTTTGCTTTTCCCAGTCTCTGCCTTTATCTTGGTTTTCTCAACCATCAAAATTTTTATTTATTTATTTATTTATTTATTTTTAACTGTGAATTTATTATTATCATCTCAGTATTGGTCCCTGGCTGTTGTCTCATAGAAGACAACAAAGGACATCACGTTAAATATTTGAATGTGGGATTTGATGAAGGTCATTGAGACTTGCACTGCACATTATATTGGTAAATTTTACAGCTGATTTGATTTTGTTGGTGCAGTGGTTTGTAGTGCTATTTAACTGTTAAATTATTGAAATGTTCTTAAGTTCATATAACAAGTATGTCTAACAATTCCAAATTTCTGTTTTATTTTATTTAGCAATCCATTTATAAATTGAATAATTTAGCAAGGTTTATGGTAAGGTTGAAGAGTTCATTTGAGGAGGGGGGAGCAAAAAATATAATAGAGAAACATTTTAATTCAAGGTGTGAAGTTTCAACATGTCATCAGCTTTTGCACTTATTAATGTGCAGAATCTGGCAATTGTGTTTTCAAAATTTTAAGACACAGTTTGAATATATTGTCAGTCCAAATTCATACAGAGTTAGATTTTTTTTAGGTAAAGTACATATTGCTCTTAGTACTTGGATACATAATAAATTAAGCACTTGGATCTGATTCCTCAGCTCTCAACATTTCTCTATTTTGTATGATATTACTTCCTGTTGTTTGTTTGGTATGAGCTCCTCCTGTCTACCACTTCTCCTTTTCAATCTGTAGTGCTTGGAGCTCCTGCCCTTCTCAATGACCCTTCTCTTTCTGAAGAAGGGTCTAGGCCCGAAACATCAGCCTTCCTGCTCCTCTGATGCTGCTTGGCCTGCTGTGTTCATCCAGCTCTACACCTTGTTATCTCAGATTCTCCAGCATCTGCAGTTCCTACTATCTCTGATACAAAATTGACAATGTAGCTTTTGATCATGAACTTAACATAATTTTCAAACTTGTAATCCTAATAATGCCTGATGCTATCATTAAAAAGTGACCACACTCATTGAAGATGTCCCAAACAGCACTCTCATCCTCCCTGAATATGGTGAGCCATTGCCAGGACACACCTGCCAGAGGTGGCCAAATGACGTGTAGTTCAGAGGGAGTTATTTGAACTCAATGTAGTATAGTAGTCAAATGTGGGATGATTACTGTCTACAGCTGTCCTTTTGTCATTCATCAATACTCCTGTATGTTGGACAGCGGTTGTATGTTGGATAATGGTTGAAAGAAGACCTGATGGTTGTAAGTGCACAGAATGTACTTTAGGTGGGTGACTTTAATGTCCATCACTAAGTGGCTTGGCTGTACCACTACTAACCAATGGACATAGCTGCTAGGCTGAGTCAATGGGAATTGGTGAAACAACTAATGAGAGAAAAACCTACTTGATCTCATCCTCCCCAATCTGTGTCACAGGTGCATCAATCCATGGTAGCCTCAATAGGAGTGACTACTAGTCCACGCCGACCATGTTCCCAAACTAAACTAATCCCACTTGCTAGCATTTGACCCATATCCCTCCAAACCTTTCCTATTCACATACTTATTCAAATGCCTTTTAAATGTTGTAACTGTACCTGCTTCCACCACTTCCTCTGGCAGTTCATTCCAAACACGGACCACTCTCTGTGTTTAAAAAAATGTTGCCCCTCATGTCCTTTTAAAACCTTCTCCTCTCACCTTAAAAATATGCCCCCTAGTTTTGAACTCCCCCACCCTAGGGAAAATTCCCTTGCTATTCACCTTGTCTATGCCTGTCATAATTTTATAAGCCTCTATAAGGTCAACCCTCAGCCTCTTACTCTCTAGACAATAAAGTCCCAGCCTATCCAGCCTTTTTTTAAAATAACTCAAACCCTCCATTCCTGGCAAGATCTTGGTAAATCTTTTCTGAACCCTCTCCAGTTTAACAATAATATCCTTTCTATAACAGGGTGATCGGAACTGCACACAGTACTGCAGAAGACATCCCTACTCCAAACTCCAAGGTTTGAGCAATGAAGGCAACCACGCTAAGCATCTTCTTAACCACCCTGTCTACCTGACCCACATTTCAAAGAATTATGCACCTGAACCCCTAGGTCTCTCTGTTCTACAGAACTACCCAGAGCTCTCCCAGTAATTGTATAAGTCCTGCCCTTGTTTGTATTACCAACGTGCAATACCTCACATTTGTCCAAATTAAATTCCATCTGTCACTCCTCAGCACATTGACCCAATTGAACAAGATCTCTTTGTAATCTAAGATAACCTTCATTATTGTCCACTGTACCACCAATTTTGGTGTCATCTGCAAACTAAATAACCATGCTTCTTGTATTATCATCCAAATAGTTTATATAAATGACAAACAAAAGATACAGCATGCTATTGATGCGGTCAAGTGATATATCAACCAGTGGATCAGATCTAAGCTCTGCAGTGCTGCCAAATCCAGTCATGCATTGTGATGACAAATTACCAGGAGGAGAGGACTCCTCTGTGATGGGGAGCCCAGCACATCATTCAATAAAATGAAGGTGAAGCATTTGCCTCCAGCTTCAGCCAGAGACTCGAAGGAGATAATTCATCTTAACTTTCCCTTAAAGTCCCCAGCATCACAGATGCCAGACTTTAGTCAATTTGATTCAATCTGTGATGTTCTGATGAATGGTGTATAATATCTATTGTCATTTTTAGAACTTTGATTGTTTTAAAAGCGAGATTGATGTGAGTCTGTTCAGTGACTATTTGATAGATCAGCCTGTCTTTATGGAACAGTGACCTGGATCCAGCCTAGCTCAGAAAGCATGTGATTACAGAACCCTGTTTGTTAATGGAATGATTTTTAAATACTTTCGGCTTTATGACAACAAATGTAAATGCATTAAAGTTTTTTCAGTTCAGAAGAGTCATGGATTGAGTTCAGAAGCAAGTTTTAGTAATAAATAGAATTTAGTTTGTTTTTTTCTTTTGTGTAGTAACCTTATGTTCTATTGTTAAAGGACATGTGCAGCCTTGTGTGTTTCAATGACTAACCACACATTAACCAACTGAAAAATTAAATATATGATCATTTAAGCCAGGTTTAATTGAGATCTTACTGTCCAGTTCCACTATCAGCTGGCATAATAACAATAACAAGAAATGGATGAAGGTGCTTCTATAGAATGGCAGAAGGTCTAAAATTGTTGATGATATTCGACAGCTGCACGACCTTGAATGAGTCCTATGAACATTCCTGTACGTGCCAAAGATGGCAAATCAAGGTTGCTTTTCTGTACTGGCTGTTTGTTACACTGTATAAGAGAAAGAGTTTCATTCCTAGTCAATGGACTTCACCTCGGGCCAGGAACAAACTTAAGCCTCCAGACCAGCTGTCGATTTGAGGGGGCCCACAAGGGTGTGAGGCTTCTTTTTTTTTCTCTTTCTTTTTTCTAATTTACTTAATAAATATTCCTTTCTTTTTCCTTCTTTTATTACTCAATAAATGTTCATATTTAAGCAATTTACTATTGTTGAGTCTTCTCTTAACTACATTTAACCAAATCCAAAAGAACCACTTGGACACACCCTGTGATCCAAGATAGTGCTGGCTACTCCAGTGCTATCAGAAGTGGCACATGCAAAGGAATAACCTGCTCGCTCATGCTGTGTTTGTGTAGTACCTGGATGACTCTGCTCCTAACCTCATTACAGATTTTGTAAAATCATGGACAAAAGAGCTGAACTCCAGCGATGAGGTGAGAGTGACAGCCATTAATAGCAAGGCAGCATTTTACAAAATTAGACAATATGAATCAGAAAACTTTTCACTGCTCGGAGTCATAGGAGGTCAGTCATTACAGCCCAGGACATCATTGCAGGAGTTCCTCACATTAGTGTCCTTAGGCCACGCCATCTTCAGTTTTTCCCTTCATTCACTTGGGGTCGTGAGCGTCGCCATCTGGTTAGTATATATTTCCCATCCCTAGTTGCACTTGAGAAGGTGGTGTCGTCTTGAACCGCTGCAGGTAGACCCACAATGCTGGTAGGGAGGGAATTCCAGAATTTTGACGCAGCAACAGTGAAGGAATGGTGATAAATTTCCAAGTCAGGGTGGTGAGAGGCTTGGAGGAGAACTTGCTGGTGGTGGTGTTCCCATGTATCTGCTGCCCTTGTACTTGATTAATGACCCCCTCCTCAATCATGAGGTCAGAAGTGGGAATCCTCACTGGTGGCATAATATTCAGCATGATTTGCAAGTTCTTTGATATTGAAGCAGCTCACATTCATAGACAGCAAGACCTAAACGAAGTGTAGACTTGAGGTGATGAGTGTCGATTAACATTTCCCACCGCACATGTGCCAGGTAATGACAGGGATCATTGCTGAGGTGTTAAATGAATATTTTGCATCTTTTTTACAAAAGAGGGTGCTGCTACCGAGGCTGTGGTGATAGAGGAGGAACCTCTGTCACGAGAGGGTTGAAAATTAATAAGGGAGAAGTCCTGGGGTCATTGAAGAAAGGGTTGGCCAGGTGTGGTGAAGGGAATGGTCCCTTTGACATGCCAAAAGAGGAAGGGAGGATATGTTTGGTCGTGGAAATGGAGAATGGTGATATGGTGATATGTTGAATGTGGAGACTGACGGGTTGGAATGTGAAGGGAATGGGATAATAATTTTCCATCCAGCACAGTAATTCCTATAGGAGCATACTTCTGGTGTTAAGAGACTTCTTACTCAAGTTTTATTGAGGTAAAAGTTTGCTTAAATAGTATACTAATCCATCTACATTTTCTCATCTTGCTGTAATTTGTGTTGTTTAATATTTTGTTTTTCTATTCTTATTCCTGCACCCCTCTGCCCATTTTCCCTTTTTAGGATCATGAAGAACAATTTTCCTTTATAGCAGAATGGTACGATGCAAGTGCTAGTCTAATTCGGCGCTACTTGTTTTTCTTTTATCCAAAAGATGGATCTATTGAAATGGTAAGAGTTTTGTTTTGCTTTTTGGCTGTTTTTTTTGTATTCATCTTAAATTGTGTCAGATTGAAAACACATCAAGCCTCTGCTTTTGTTCGGTTTAGCTGAAGATAGCAGAACTTCTAAACAATTAGTACCAATATGCAAGTGAGTGAAATGCTGAAGCAACATATCCCATAGAGCTATGATTCAGTGTTCCATATATTATGGAAACATTATTATTAGTACCTCTACTATTTATAATTCTGATTATTTGCCAACTAAAACATTGTCACATCAAAGCCTTATGCAAAAGGTCATTTGATTTTATAGATTTGCTGTTTGTATTTTTTTTTTCATTGAATTTTATCTCCATTTCTTATTCAATATAACAGCATTTTAAGCATTTTAAACATTTTACTAATTCATTGTATTAATTCCCAAGCTTAGAAACTTGTGACTATCTGCCAATTTTATTATCTTTTTGGGGTTCTTCAGTATGTGGTAGTTGAATGAGGTTCTAGCATATGTAGTGGAAGACTGAAATTGAATTTTAAAAAATGCTAGTTTTCTGATCACTAAATTTATTGTATTGTCTCTTCATATTAAAAATCCAACTGGCGTTATTAATATCAAAAATATAACCTGCCATACTTTGGTGTGCATGTGACTCCAGTCTAGTTGTTAATTTTAAAGTTCTTAAAATGCTCTTCTAAAGCTTCTTGCTTGCTCGTATTAATAGTAAAACTACAAAACGGATTCAAAATGAACAAAAATATGGCCTTACCATTGCCGCCCACGTTTTGAGAAAATAAATCACGATAAACATTACAGGCAGTTTTGCTTTGCACTTATAAAAACCTGCCGTGATTCTGAATAAATAACATCTCACCCAATCTAAAGATTTTCAGAAAAACCAGCAGGGTTGACTTGAGGACTGTTTTCCATGGGAAATGATTAATATTGAGAAGGAAGACCAACATTTTCTAAGAAAGAGAACCGAGTATTATGACACATGACTACATCATACATCACATTTATTCCTTTCTCCTTAACAATCAACCGATTTCATAGGACTTTTGAGGACCTTTCTGAGGAACTCTATTCCAAAAGAGCTAGTTTTTTCCAAATCAGCAGTTGACTGTCTCCTATGACTGATTTGAAAACCTGAATTTAAGCTCATTTGTATGCATTATTCTATCTGGCTATGAGAGTTACTATTGACTTCAACCATTGCAGCTTACACTCTCTAAGTAGTTACAAGGGATCTCTGCAACATAAGATGAGAAAAGATACATGATTTTATTTTAGGAAGGAGAACAGCAATTGCTTTAAATGGTTTTGAGCTTGGTAGAGCTGAGAATTAACAAGATTACTAAGCACTTAGAGTTTATGCAAAAAATTTAGGCCCTCATTACACTATGGATGGAACAGAAGTATTCTATGATTCTGCAGATTATAAATATCCCCTTATTCCACTAAAAATTAAGTTAGCTAGGATTTTAGAAATAGAAATTGATTCCATCTTCTAAATTACTTGTACACGGATGCCTGAAGTTTGAAGTCCACCTGGTTTCCAACCTTCTGCCTTGATTAATTTTATAGTTTAATGAAAGTTTGTTTTTCTTTAATCAAACATTTAAAAAATACTTCTTTTTTAAGTAAAAAGTTTATTATTTTTATACAGAGATGATCCCTCTACTCGGAGAGATGAGCTTCAACTGATGTATTAAACTGTTCAATTCTGTGTTAAATTTGTATAAGATAAGATTATCCAAAATATTTTTGCCTTAAAGCTAAATGAAACTTGAGATGAGGCAACTGAATTCTATTGTTTGATGTCACTTTAAAGTTATCCCATGAGCAATGCTTGAATATATGATCAATTAAGTATCAACTTTTCATTCACCCATTTTCCTCATAACTAGTTTGAATTTAGATCAACATGGTGAAATGTTGCCGTTATTCACAGATGGTGCAAGGAGATTCATGTAGTCTGTTAAAAGGATGAATCAGGTAATCCTCCATTAATCCCTAAAAATGGGATGATGCAAATAGACTTTGAAATCGGATTTTTAGTACAAGTCATTGCCATTGTGTCATTACCAGCTGTAACAGATACTGTTAACTAAATCAGCATTATAGAGCTATAAAGTCAGTGTTACACAGAGGGCCATTTCCCATAGAAATCACACTGGCTGTCTGGCCTTCGGTAAATTCCATTTTCCCGCTGCATCTCTATAGTCTTGCAAGTTTATTTCCCTGCAGTGCCCATTCAATTTTCACCTCAAATCAATTATCATCTCCCTTCTACCATCCTAATAGGGAACAAGTTCCAAGTTATTACCATTTGTGTGTTTTTTATTTTCAAAGAGTTTGGCCTTCCCTCTCCACTTAATTGTTTTTATTGCTCAATACCTAAATTTATGTCCCCTACCTCACGTACCAACATTAGTTGCAGTATCAACTTGGAGCAGAGAATATCTTTCAGTTTTCTCTATTTTTGACAGATTCACCAAATAGTGATTCTCACTAAATATCTAAAGTACTACATTTGTTTATGCTGTTCTACGTTTGGTGCTAGACCATCATTGCCATTGATAAAGAATTATCCTGCTGTGCATGTACATATACAAATTAGGAGCAAGCATAGGTCATTTGGCCCTTTATGCCAGCTCCACTGATCTGATTGATTGTAGTCTCAACTCCACTTTACTGCCTACTCCTGATACCTTTCACTCCCTTTTTAGTCAAGAATTTATCTACTTCTACCCTGCATCCACTACTTTCTAGGATAGACTGTCCAAAAAACCCTCAACCCATGGCAACAGGTCTCTGACTCTTCACTTAATATTCCTTTCCTCCAATCCTCTTGATGTTCATGGTCCATTAGGAGCCAGAAACTTAATTTAAAAATAAATCTCTTATTGTTGATAAAACCAGCATGTATTGTCCATTCATAATTCTTCTTGAGATGATTTGGAGTTACATTCTTGAACCACTGAAGTCCATCTAGTATGGATACACTTAGTGATGCTTTAATTGCTTCAGGTTGGATGTAGACAGCGTGGTCATCTGTGTTTGTCTATTTATCCTGTTATTCATGGTGTTGTGAATATCAGAGGGACACATCTGGCACTACTTTTACTTAACATCTCTATCAGAATTGCCCTCTACCCTTGAACTAATCTATTGCTCACTTAGATTTATCTTTGGGTTTTTGGACTTAATACCTCTGAAAATTGAATGGTCATAATGTGGTAGGTGAGACCACTTCTGGAATATAGCAGTAAACATTTTACTACTTTTTAAACATCTAGCCAATTTATTCCCATGGGACTGCCTGTGTTAAAACTTAGAATTAGAAGTCAGTCAAAACAGCAAAAAGACTGTGAGGAAGTAATAACATATGTAATGTAAGCAGGTGGCAGAACAAGTAGGCTAGTGAATCTGTATTTTTTCATTGTAATGCAAATTTAACTGATTGTACCAAGGCTAATTTCCTCATACTCCGCATTCTGCATGTTTTGTCTACTCTGGAATTAAGTCACTTCTAAGCCAACCAAACAATACCTGGTCTGCTTTCCAAAATATTAAAACAATTCATGTGTTTTGGTAACAGAGTCAGTTCAAATCACAAGGGAGTGTCATTGTTGAATTCCAGCTCCCACTACTGCACAAGTACTGTAGGCGTCAACTTCAATTTATTGAAAGAAAGCAGACAACTATATTCTTAAGGGAGTGACTGGCGCCATTGGATTAATGTAGGTGCCTGTGGCAGACTGGCAGCAAATGGCAGTTTTTTTCGCAATGTGAACATTTTGTGCTGTTTTGTGGAAAGTGTTGGTAATTTTGTATGTGATTATTATTTTGACCTTTTTTTGACCTCTGTTTTATGAATAAATATATTGATGTCCATTCTTGACATTTTACAGTATGATATTAAGAACCATCGTACCTTTTTGAAACGGACAAAATATGAACAATTGCGGCAAGAAGACTTGTTCGTTGACAGCGTAATTACTGTGTATTCTCGTCAGCTCCATTTAGTAAGCTACGGGGACCAATACACAGCTCGCAAACTGGGAAGTAAGAAACAAAAGTAAGAACTTAGTTTCAAATTATATTCAGAGTTCACACTAATTACTGAAGGCCTAATTTGATCAAAATAGTATTAAAATCTCATTCAGACATGTAAGGTTCACCAATTATGAAATTCCCATCCCACAGTAATATGATTGGTAAAACTGATCAAATTTTGACTGAAGCGCAGTTCATCGATAAGATAGGTCATGTACTTGAATGCATTCATCATTTTTAACATATGGAGATTTTTGTTCCTTGTGCTTGAATTGGATCTGACTTTACATAGTTCAGGTGACTTGTATTGCTTTAGTCAAATTGATGTGTTAGTAATTTCCTATAAATTTGAAGAATCTCTCTCTAGCTGTCTATTATGAACTTTGAGTTATAAATGTAAATGGTGTGTTGTTTATGTACTCAGTAGAGAGAGAGGCTTAGTGAAAATCTAATCCTGGTTTGTTAAAGTTGAGGCACAAAGGTTGTCTTTGATGCAATGGGGCTACCTTAGAATGAAGAGTCATGCATGTGAAATGAGGAAGCAGGCAATGAAGCTGGATGTCCGTAAGTTTACTTTTCTAGTTAACAGTGAGCTGGTTTATTATAATCCTTCAAAGAGGCAGTAGGTTGGATATCTACTGGAAGTGGTCATGCTGTAATCTTGGAAGTTGCACCAATGGTGTGAGAAAGAGTTTTACCAGATGTCTCGCATTCACCACAGGTCTGTATTTGCCCATAACTTCAGGAACAGGATGGAATTTTGGTGCTTAGACATCCAATCTGCTTATCCCTGGGTGAGAAGCTATGACACAATGGCTTTTTCCCTATTCTTGATAGAAAAATATAATTACATTTTACACACATGTAAAATCCCCCTTGTCTATAAGAAGTGGTTACATCATCTGCTTGTTAAGCTGTGTATCTGGCAAAAGTAGAGCATTTCCTCCTCCCGCTTCATCCCACTCCTTTATTCACCTCCCTCTCTCTTATGGCCCTTTCCCCTCGCTGGCCCTCTCTTCCCTTCTAGGTAGGCAGCCTTTGTAATGGCACAAATATGACCTCAGAAGCTTCTCTTGAGGTCAAATGTAACACCAGTGCTGCAAACAGATTGCCCTAATCTTCCAGAGAGAGGGATAGAGTTGTTGCAAGGGAATGGAGATTGGAACAGGAATAAGAGCAATGGCTTCAGTCCTCACAATATTTAATTTGTGGAAATTTCTGTTCATTCAGTCCTGCACATCAGACAAGAAGTCTAATAATTTTGCAGCAATCAAAAGGAATGGTGATGAGCTAGAGCTGCATGCCATCAGTGACACGTGAAAATTAATGCTGTCATTCACTGAGAATGTGATTACGTGATTTGTGAGCACAGATATGGAAATGCTGGAATTGAAGATGGTGAAGTTGTTGGGGATTACTCTGGAGATTGTGGGTCTTCTGTCCTGGTGTTAATCTGAATTGAGGATGTTTTGAACAATTGTAGTAAATAGTCTAGCACTTTGGGGTCTCTGGCATATTTCTGAGAAGCAAATCCTAATATAGTTATGGTGTAAGGGAGCCTAGAATTACTGTTGTCATGTTCTGAATAATCAGATTCAAACCTTTTTTGGATGTTCCTGCTGGTTAGCCCTCTTGTTCATTCTTGACATATTTTGCACTTGCATGTATTTTCCTGCTGTCCTCTTCTCAGTTCTTTTCCTTTATCAGTCGGTTCCTGTTTCAGATATTTTCTAATCAAGCTGCTTTAGAGACGTTTTTTCTCAATGTGGAGCAGGTGCAACTTGAACCCAGATCAGGTGGTTCAATGGTAGGAACACTATCATTGTGACAATAAAGCACCTTGGTTCCTGTTTCTTTCCTTTCCTTTTTCTTTTGCCTTTCTTTCTATAGAAACTCACCATCAAGTTTTCTAATCACCCACTCAAAAGAACTCACCTCTTAGTGGTTTTAAGCAACGTGTTCAGATGTGTTATGATATACCTCTGGTGGGGGTAAGACTTGAACCAAAGCCTTCTGACTCCGGGCTCGGGACTGTACCACTGTGCCACAAAACCGTGGGTTGTTCCTGTTTTGACTTTATATTGTTTTGAGAAGTGTCATCCTTGACACCAACCAAATTTACAAATTGCAAGCACTACTCAACAATAGCAAAAACAGGGGAGTATACAAAAATAGGAAAGGAATTGAAGGGCATATTATGCACCACAGACAAACATCAAATGTGAATAAAGGTACATTCTCTGCAACACGTGTCCGAACTTCCATTTCTCCCAATTTATGTTACAAAAAAAAAGTCACTTATAGCAGTACAAATAAAATATAATGTGAAAATCTGAAATAAAATCAAGAAGTGCTAAATTACATTTTGGGTCTGTAAGCTTCGAAGAAAGAAAAGATGGGTTAAGGTTTGCTGCCCTTCACTTTCGGCATTTATTTTTCTACACCAGATATCAGCTGCCTTTTAAACATATATGCATTGGATTTGATTTCTGTTTCTTTGCACCTGTCAGAATTGAAACATAAAACCTAAATGTTTGGAAACCATTTTGTTGTTACTGCCAATAGCAAAATGGCAAATAAGATTTGTCCTCAATAATTTAAAATTGGGATTTCTTCTTTGTTATTCACTTTTTGTTAAAATCCACAATGTTATGGCCTAGATATTGAACAACCTTTTCGCTGTCTCTTTCTTTTCCAGGACACTAGGTATAATAAAGCCAGGTTCTGATCTTAAATTCGGAAAGTTGATTGACAGGCTCTACAGCTCAGGACTTGTAATATCCAAGGCAAAAATGATAGATTTAACAAGGTACATAATCCACTAATTTTTCAAATCAATGTTGTTAAGCTTTCTTGATCTGTTGAATTTTAGAACTTCCTTTGTAAAGCAACATCTCTGCATTGAGAATGGCAACCTTTACCAGAGTGGAAAAAAGTGTCTACACTTTAAGTGCCAGTCTTTAGCAGCCAAGGAAGTGGCTGTGCTTTCTTATATGTATGAACTTGTGTGTGTGATATTAGTATTCTCCTGGTAGTAACAAAGATGTATTTATGGAAACTGTTGCAATCAGTGATTTTTTGCAAACAGTAAATGTGGCAGACTGCACATGCAAAGTATGCAATGCTTGTGCTATATAGTGCATGATACATGTGCAGTACATCTTTGCTCCAGAAAGTATTTATTTTTTCTTTAAAATCGCATATAAAATACCCATTACTTTCTGGGTGAAATCAGTTTTTCTCATGTCCTCTCTGATAACAATCGCCTTAAGTCTCTGTCCCCTGGTAATTGACCTCTCCGCATGTAGCAACAGGACTTACCAATCCACTTCTTGAAGCCCCTCATTATTAGCTGGGATATGAGGAAAAGCCTTTTCAGTCAGAGATTGTTAGGCATCTGCAGTTCAATGCCCAATTTGGTTGTTGAGTTGGAAACTCTCAGTTCATTTAAAAGGAACCTGGATCTGCAACTGTTGTACTTTAACCTGTGAGGCTATGGACAAAGTGCTGTACTGGCTGAATGGCCTGTTTCTGTGCTATGAAATTTCAATGGTTCTGTGATGTCTCTGCCATAAAACTTTGCTGTCTCTTCCTGATTATAGGCTGGGCACTTGGATATATGCATAATGTCCTTTAAAGGTTTGATCCCCATGACCGATAGCAAGCTAACCAGCATGTAGTTTTTTTTTTTTGCTTCCCTCCTCTTTTGAGTAGAGGAGTTATATTTGATAGAACATTTCCAGCATCTAGCAAATTTTGGAAAATGAACACCAATGCTATTCTTTGCCACCTCTTTGAAAGACCCTGGGTTGAGGTCCATCAGAATCCAGGGAGTTTTAGCGTGCAGCTCCATCAGTTTGATAACGCTTGTGATTGTAATTTCCTCTCTCCCTGCCAGCTCTTGATTTACAGCTATTACTGGAATGTTATAACATCACCATAGGTGATACAAACCGAACTAAAATATTTATTCTTCTAATCAGCTATTTCCTTATGTATTATGACCTATCTCCTAATAGCACTCCATTCATATTCGCCAAAGAACAACACTCAATTCTTTTCATTTTTAAACAAAGAAATACCTTTTTTTTTGACTTATTTTCTAGACACCTTCCTGTTGTGCTTTAATTTCTTTCATTGAGTTAATCTTTTAGTCTCTGCTATTGTTTATATTCTGTCTAATTACCTAACCCGCCACTCATCCCTGCACAATTATATTATTTTCCCTTAAGTTTGATGCTTTCCTTTAGGTAGCCATGGATAGTAGTCCTCCCTTTAGAATTTTTCTTTGCAGAAGTAGTCTATTATTCTGACATATCCCCTTCAATGTCTGTCACTGCTTCACTATTGATCTGTTCCCTAGCCTAGTATTCTAGTTCATTTTAGATAGTTTAGATTTAATGGTCATAGCTGTCCTTTAAAAAAACTAGTCTTAAACCCATTCTTCTCTCATTTCAAATTGGATGTAAGAATCAATCATATTGTGATTGCTGTTATCTAGACACTTTTTTTGATTTTGAGATCATTAATGAATTGTGTCACATGCAATACCAAGTCCAGCATAGCCTGCTTTCTGGGTAATTCTGGATTGTGCTGCTCTAAGAAGCTATCTCAATGGCAATCCGTGAGCTCATCTAGGCTACCATTGCCAATGTGATTTTTCCAGTTTATTCGTAGCCTAAAGTCAACCCATGATTATTGTCACACACACCCAATATTTACTTTTGTATGCTTTGTTCTACATTGTGGTTACTATTAAGGGACCTCTCAACCACTTCTGCAATTGACAACTTATTTCCCTCGTATTCCTCATCTTTTTCTCAACCATTTCTAAGTCCTGGTCTCGTGATCCACGTTCATCTCTGACTATTGCGCAATGCCATCCTAGATTAACAGTGCTGTCCCTCTAATAAAATCCGAAAGAACTGCGGATGTTGTAAATCAGGAACAAAAACAAAGTTGCTGGAAAAACTCAGCAGGTCTGGTAGCATCTGTGAAGGAAAAAACAGAGTTAACATTTCAGATCCAGTGACCCTTCTCAGAACTGAGGAAGGGTCTCCGGACCCAAAATGTTAACTCTTTTGTTTTACCTTCACAGATGCTGCCAGACCTGCTGAGCTTTTCCAGCAGCTTTGTGCTGTCCCTATATCTCATTTTCTTTCTTCTTGAATATCATATAACAATCAATATGCAGGACCTAATCCTTGTCATTATGCAGCCTCGTTTCTGTAATCGGGGATGAAGATTTCAGATTTGGGCAAGAGATGGAGGAGGAATATGAAGAAAAATGTTTTTACGCAGTGAGTGATAATGTTTTCGAGAAGATTTGTAGCTCGGGTTGTGGATGAGCTTGTAGACATGCTTGCCAAGCCGGTGGGTTTGGTTGCAAATGTTTCATCACCCTGCTAGGTAACGTCTGGTCTGTATGTGTGGTCTTTCTATATACGCTAATCTGGAGTTCCCCGTTGTTTTTGCCTTCTGCCATTATGCCCAGGAAGGGTACTCAGTAAAAACCGAAAGAACTGCAGATGCTGTGAATCAGGAACAAAAACAGAAGTTGCTGGAAAAGCTTTGAAGGTCTGGCAGCATTTGTTAAGAAAAAATCAGAGTTAACGTTTTGGTTTTTGCGACCCTTCCTCAGAACTGGTAGTTGATTGTTGTTCTCTTCTTCTTTTGTGAATTTTATCCCGGTGAGGATGTTGTTTTATATGTTGGTGGGTTTCTTCTAGTTTTGTACATTTGATAATGACGAAGTTGTCATCTACGCAAAGTGTTTGGGTTATATAGTGGGGAGCATTGTCTGTTCTAACCTTTGCATCTGCAATTAGTCCTGATATTGGGGATCCCATTGATATTCTGTTGATTTGTTTTGTTTGTAATGCTCCCATTGAAAGTGAAGTCGGTTGTGAGGCACAGACCTAGTAGTTTCAAGATGGTGCCCTTATTGATGGTGCTGGTGCACTGGAACCAACACTAAAGAGCAACGGACTCATGGAAGAAGTACAACAGACCATCAGACAGATGACAGTCCTAGCACTGAGCAAAAGCGGTAAGTGGAACACATTCAATGCAGAAAAGACGAAAGCCCTGGAAAGACTCGAAAAAGACAAGAATATTGTAATCGTACCAGGGGACAAAGGACGCATAATAGTAATCTTCAATAGAGCCCAATACATCGAGAAAGCTAACCCACTACTAGCAGATACTGATACCTACCAACAGATGGCGATAGACCTGATACCACAGTTAGGGAACTGGATTACAACAACCCTGAAGAAATTACACAACTCAGGAGACATCAGCAAGATGGACTACCAAAAAATGAAGCTGCAGGGATCCAACACACCCCACTTCTACGGACTCCCCAAGGTACACAAACTGGGGGTCCCCCTCAGACCCATCGTCCCACTACCATGCTCACCAACATACAGACTTGCCAAAAAACTACAACAGAAATTGAAATACGTAGTTGACAACACTACCCGCTCTATCCACTCCTTCCAAAAATTCCTCAACATCATCAAGGACACCAGGGTAGAAGAGGACAAGATGATATCCTTCAATGTAACAGCACTATTTACATCCATAAACATTGACCTAGCCAAAGAGACAATTGCCACACTACTGGACGAATCAAGTAGGCCGGCACTCTAGGACACCAACAGCATCAATAAGGACACTACCATGAAACTACTAGATCTGTGCTTCACAACCCACTTCACCTTCAATGACAACATATACAAACAAATCAATGGAATGCTAATGGGATCCCCAATATCAGGACTGATTGCAGAAGCGGTAATGCAAAGGTTAGAATGGACAGCGCTCCCCACTATACAACCCAAACTTTGAGTCTGAAATGTAAATGACACCTTCATGATTATCAAACGCACACAACTAGAAGAAACCCACTGACTCATAAGCAACATCCTCACCAGAATAAATTCAAAAAAATGAAGGGAACAACAACCAACTACCCTTCCTGGACATAATGGCAGAATGCAAAAGCAACGGGGAACTCCAGATTAACATATATGGAAAGACCACACATACGGTGGGTTTTTTTCTAGTTTTGTGCGTTTGATAATCCACGAAGGTGTCACCTACATATCGGACCCAATTACACTAGCAACTAACCCAATGCTCACAAACGGAGCTGCATCCAGGACACTCTTTAAATGAGCCACAACACATTGCAGCAGCCTGGAACTACGTGAAGCAGAACGGGCACACCTGTATGGAGTCTCCAAAAGGAATAGATACCTGAAAAGCACAATCCGCCATTACTTCTGAGACAGATCACAACAGGTAGACACAACGTGACCAGAATCACTTGTCCCCCTATCATACATCAAGGACGTTTCAGAGCTGACCACAAGACTACTCAGACTCCTAGGTATCAGGGTAGCCCACAAACCGTCAACCACTCTACAACAGCTACTGACGAATGTAAAGGATCCCATACCCAAAACCAGCAAAACTGGAGTAATATACAAAATACCATGCAAGGACTGTGAGAAACACTACATAGGCCAAACCAGAAGAAAACTGACAATTCGGATACATGAGCACCAACCAGCCACCAAGGGACACAACCAATTCTCACTTGTCTCACTACAAATGGACAAAGAGGGACACAAATTTGACTGGGACAACACATCCATAATGGCACAAGCCAAACAGAGACACGCCAGGGAATTCCTGGAGGCCTGGTATTCTAACCGGAACTCCATCAACAAACACATCGAATTAGACCCTGTGTACAAACAACTGAGAAACAGAACCAGAAGTGGTACCAAACACCCCAACAAACTGAGGCACACAAATAACAAACTGGACAGAACACCAATACTTCACTGCACTGACCATGTTACCTAGCAGGGTGACAAAACATTTGAAGCCAAACCCACCAGCTCAGCGAGCAGGTTTACAACCTCCAGTGAGTGATAATAATATGGAACTTACTGCCATGAGTGTAATGGAAGCAGAAACAATTATTCAAAGGGGAACTTAAATAGACACTTGAATGAAATAAAACTTCAGGACTAAGGGAATTGAGGGAAGGAGTGGGACAAACAGGATTAATCTCTAGCATGATATGTACCAGGATGTTGCCTGGAATGGAGGGAAGGCCTTACGAGGAAAGGTTGAGAGAGCTAGGGCTGTTCTCTTTAGAACGACGAAGGATGAGAGGTGACTTGATAGAGGTGTACAAAATGATCAGATGTATAGATAGAGTGGACAGCCGGAGACTTTTTCCTAGGGTGGAGGTAGCTATTACGAGGGGGCATTGTTTTAAAGTGAGTGGAGGTAGATATAGGGGAGACATCAGAGGTAGGTTCTTTACTCAGAAAGTGGTAGGGGCGTGGAATGCTTTGCCGGAGAGGGCAGTGGAGTCTGCCTCATTAGGCGCCTTTAAGCAGCTATTAGACAGGCATATGGATGATAGTATAAGGAAGGGTGGAGATTAGATAGACCTTAGGTTTAGGGTAAAAGTTCGGCACAACGTTGTGGGCCGAAAGGCCTGTACTGTGCTGTACTGTACTGTTCTATGTTCTATGGTCTAATATGCCAAATGCATTTCTGTGCTGAATTGACTGACTCTATGAGCGTTGTGGAATAGACATTTGACATTGATCTACATGGGATATCAGGAGAGATGACTAAAGGCTTGGTCAATAAGTTAGATCTTCAGGAGTGCCTGAAAGGGGAGAGTGAGAGTGCAATGGAGACAGCTGCTCAGTTTTCTGCCAAGGCAGCTGAATGGTGGAATTCTTGAAAATAGAGGATGTTTAAATTGGATCCATAAATTGGAGCAGTGCCAAAATCTCAAAGGTGTACAGGAGGTTATAGAGGTGGGGAAAGATGAGCCATTTCAGGGATTGGAAAACACATAGAATGTTAAAATGGAGGTATTGCTTAATCAAGAGCTTTTGTAGATCACTATAGACTAGCGAGCATTTCAATGATA